ACCTCACAGCAACCTCAAACTCTTGGGCTTAAGTGATTCTCTTGCCTCAGCCTCCCAAGTAGCTGGGATTACAGGTGCCTGCCACAATACCTGGCTATTTTTTTGTTGTAGATGTCATTGTTGTTTAGCAGGCCTGGCCAGGTTTGAACCCACCTGCTTTGGTGTATGTGGCCAGAGCCCTAACAACTGAGCTATAGGCGCAGAGCCAAGAGCAAACTTTTGAAGAAACTAGGAGTCTTGGGCCACAAGGAGCGACTCCTCAGTGGAGTCTTGACATGTCAGCCCTGGGCTGATGGCCCTGCAGGAGTATGAGCAGTCATTTCCCTGAAGCAGCTTTTGATTTCAATATAAGAAAGAATATTTCCCTTACTGAAGCCATCAAGCATGGGATGAATCGTCCCTTCAGAAGCTGTGAATCTAGGTCACAGGAGTATCTAAATGGGGAATAGTGGCTTCTGGAACTAGACAGTATGACTCCTAGTTCCTGCCTAGCTTCAATTCATATCCCAGCTCTGCTTCTTCCTGGCTGTGTAAACCCTGAGTAAGTCACTTTAATGTCCTGAGTCTTAATGCAAGTACTATACTGTATGAGATTCTACATGTTGTACAAATGCCCTAGCCTGTGACTAGGAGCATTCCCACAGCAAATGAGCATTCTTGAAGGCCTACCACAACTCAGGCACTGTCCTAAGACATCTATCCCACTGATAAAGTTTTTTGATCATCCCAACAATGCTACAGATGGAACCCTACCGCACTAAGCTTATTCCTGTTTAACAGATAAGGAAATCGAGGCTTGAGAGGTTAAGGAAATTGCATAAGGTTACTGAAGATCACTGCACGCAGGATCTCCGGAGAGGTTACTTCGGGTCTGGGCTCACCCCTCGCCCCGCCACGACCCCTACCCCGGCCCACTCCTCTGCCTCTCCCCGCAGGTACGTGTCGGCCCTGACCACGCCCGCGCGCCTCTCGCCCGTGGACTTCCACTACTCGCTGACCACGCAGGTGCCGACTTTCGAGATCACGTCCCCCAACTCGGCGCACGCGGTGTCGCTGCCCCCGGCTGCACCCATCAACTACCGCCTGGCGGAGCAGCAGCCTCTGCTACGGCACCCACCGCCCCCCGGCCCAGGCCCTGGGCCTGGACCTGGAGCAGACATGCAGCGCAGCTACGACAGCTACTACTACCCTGCCGTGGGGCCGGGGCCGCGGCGAGGAGCCTGCGCGCTAGGCGGCAGCCTGGGCAGCCTGCCCGCCAGCCCGTATCGCATCCCGGAGGACGACGAGTACGAGACCACGCAGGAGTGCGCGCCCCCGCCCCCGCCGCGGCCGCGTACGCGCGGCGCGTCCCGCAGGACGTCGGCGGGGCCCAGGCGCTGGCGCCGCTCACGCCTCAATGGGCTGGCGGCGCACCGCGCACGCGCGGCGCGGGACTCGCTGTCGCTGAGCAGCGGTTCGGGCGGCGGTTCAGCCTCAGCCTCGGACGACGACGCGGACGACGCGGACGGGGCGCTCGCGGCCGAGAGCACGCCTTTCCTCGGCCTGCGAGCCGCGCACGACGCGCTGCGCTCGGACTCGCCGCCGCTGTGCCCGGCGGCTGACAGCAGGACTTACTACTCCCTGGACAGCCACAGCACGCGGGCCAGCAGCAGACACAGCCGCGGGCCGCCCCCGCGGGCCAAGCAGGACTCGGCGCCCCTCTAGGGCCCCGCCGCGCGCCGCCCCCTCCGCCTCGCCCGCCCCACTGTCTTTAAGGAGAACAGAGACCATCGACTGGAGAAAGGAGGAAAAAAAAGAAATAAAAATATTTTTATTTTCTATAAAAGGAAAAAAGTATAACAAAATGTTTTATTTTCATTTTAGCAAAAATTGTCTTATAATACTAGCTAACGGCAAAGACGTTTTTATAGGGAAACTATTTATATGTAATATCCTGATTTACAGCTTCAGAAAAAAAAAAGAAACAACAAAAAAAAAGAGAGATGGGCCAATTTTTTGACTCTTTAATAGAAACCTATTTTGTGGTGCCTTTTGCTGTACGCTATCCCGGGGCTCCTGGAGAGAAGTCTGGATTGAGGGGTGGGAACTGTAGGATCCCGAGCAGGTAGGGTTGAAAGAAAGCGGTGAAAGAAAAGGCTGCGGGGTTATGATGGTGAATAGGGTGGGAGATGGGGAGGGGTTGGCCCGGAAGATGAAAATGAGGACAGAAGTAGCTATACCCCCTCAGACAAAATGTGGAGTTCTAGGCCCCTTGGGAGGAAAGGATGGAGATCCTAGGCTTAGAGCTATGGCTGGGGTAACTACCAGGGGGAGACAGAGATCCAGCGACAGCTGCCAGAATGGGGAGAGGGCCTCCCACTCTTCACAGCTCTTAAGGAAAGGGGGACAAGAGAGGTCTCCCCAACAGCTTGGGCCCAAGGAGGGGGCAGCCCTGCCAGGGGCCCAATGTTCATGGCTCCTCCTCCCCACAGCTTCCAGGACGCCCCTCTGTCCTCTGCAGCACCTTCGTTTACAGGTCGTCTTTTCTATTTTACGCCTGCATGTCCTTTGCATTTCAGATTCTTTAGATTGGATGCATGGTCACGCTGGGACCAGGAAGAGCCACTGGACAGTGTATTCGATTCCCTTTTAGCAATAAAGTGAACACCATTTCCTTTTCACAACCCATCTCCCAGCCTCCAGCCCACCTATGACTTCCACTCCCTCTCCAGTCCTACCCTTCCCACCTACCAAAACTGGGTCCACTGCTAATTTGTCAAAAGGCAATTGTTAAAAACAAAATCCCAAACAGAAACAAATGGGAACCTGCCCTGAACTGTCTGAACACCTGACTGTTGACACTTGAACATTTTTATATTATAAATAAAATCAGAAATAACTCTTGTTTGACTGTGTGTGCCTAGCCCCCAGGGAAGGAGGAAGGTCAGAGGATGAGGATCTGTGGTGGAGGTGGATGAATGGTGCTTCAGGGAGATTGGTGAAGGCCAGGGCAGTCCTTGGGAGGAAGTGACCAATCTCCTTGGCCCCAGCTCCAACCCTCCTCCCTCTTCAAGAACATTCAGCAGGTGTCCCCCTAGCTCTGGGGAACCTGTCCAAGGGACAGACATAAAGTGCTTCAAAGTCAACCTCAGAACTCTGGCCCAGTTCCTGCCCTGGATTCACCAAGCAGGACTGAGGCAATACTTGCCGGGCATAGGTGGGTGAGGAGAGATCAGGATTGTGAGCTTGGCACTGGGACAGCTGAGGCAAGATGACCATTGGGGCCTCAGGCACATGACAGGCAAAGTCTGGACATGCAAGGTGGCATAATGGGTAACCTCAGCTGCCAGGAGGACCACAGCTGTGCAGCTCATAAGCCCACAGGATGTTGCTCTTTCCCCAACTTTATAAAGGGGCCAAGGCTTGTCCAAACCTATATCCTCTGATGAAGAGTAGGTGGCTTCGGTATGGAAAAGGCAGATGGAGGTCTAAGCTTAAGAAGGATTTCTTCTCATCAACTAATTTTATTAAACCAATGCTCAGCACCGAGAGCCATTCAGTTCCAACCAGGCACCAGGGAGTCTTCAAAGAGCTGAAGGGGTTGACAAGCATGTGTGCGTGCGTGCGTGTGTGTGTGTGTGTGTGTGTGTGTGTAGCTTTGTGGGGGGCGGGGAAGAGGGATGAATGTCCCTAGGATGTATGTAGTCAGAGACAGATGGGAGGGGCAGAGTGGCTTCTGGCTGAGAGAGCTTGGGCATCCACAGACCTGAGTTAAATTCTAGCTAGCCCCTCACCAGCTGTGAAATGGTGATGAAAATACCTACCTTGAAGGGTTGCTGTGGTGATTACATGTATTAAGGACCTAGTACTGCCTCTGGAACATGATAGATGCCCACTAAATTCATAGTGGTGATGACAATATCCCACATCTCAAATCCTTGAATCATAGTAGCAAAAATTGGATGAGAAAGAAGTGATGGAGAAAAGTAGAGAAAGAACTAAAGTCATTGTATTCATTGTAGGGGTGCTGGGAAAAAAGTACCTGTTACAAAGAAACAAAGGAAAATAAGAACTAAATGCCACATAAACCTGCAAATCAGACCCCTCCCAGCCCCCATATCATGATCTCATTCAGACCCCTCTGCTGTTTGAGTTTGTACTTGGTTTTAAAATTCTCCAAGAGCAGGCCAGGCACAGTGGCTCATGCCTGTAATTCCAGCACTTTGGAAGGCCGAGGTGGGCAGATAGCCTGAGTTCACAAGTTCGAAACCAGCCTGAGCTAGAGCGAGACACCCACACACCCCTTTACCCCTGCCTCTAAAAAATATCGAGGCATTCTGGCAGGCCCCTATAGCCCCAGCTACTTGGGAGGCTGAGTCAAGAGAATCGCTTCAGCCCAAGGAGTCTGAGGTGGTTGTGAGCTATGATGCCACAGCACTCTACCAGGGGCAACAAAGTGAAACTCTGTCTCAAAAAAAAAAAAATCCTCCAAGAACCAGTTATTCTTTTATGTAAACTCTGGGCTCCATGGGATCCCAAGTTAACTTCCCTAGGAACTCTTGGTGAACTCATTTGACCTTTGTATGACCCAGCTTAGTGTCCTCATTTGACCCTTCCATGGACTCTGAATCTTTGCTGCCTTCTAAATTTTAGAATCAAAAACTACTCCTGTGACTTGTATGAACCCTCAATTTCTATGTGACCCTCAATTCATTCTGACTGACCTCTTGGTGAACTCATTGACCTTCCCATGACCTATTGCTACCTTCATTGTCTACTCTGGACTATAAGATACCTGTCATACCTGCTGAGAGTCTAAGTCCAGAACCTAAGATAGTTCCTTGGCTCTTTCCTCATTCTGTCATGCACCCATTCCATTCGTGGGTATAGCTGGCACCTGGGAACACACTTGGCCAGAATGGTCCCTTCTCCAGTCTGGTCTCAAATTTCTGCCTTGGGGAACATTTACTATGGCCTTTCAGGAAGAGCTGCAGGCCTATTAAGCAACTTCCTACCACCCTGTCCCCTGGAACACTTGGGACATTTAGGCAGCTTTCTGAGTCCAGTCTTCTTCCCCACACCCTCAATTCTTTCTTTCTTTCTTTCTTCTGCCAGGTCTTTTTTGGCTTCTCTCCCCAGCCCCTCTCAGAATCCTAAACAGTAATGGTTAATTGTCTATCCCTCTCCCCACTAGACTGTCAGCCTCACAGCGACAGGGAGCTGGCCAAATTTTTTCTGACCACATTTATCCGCAGCACCCAGCATCCAGCACACAGTGACCCTCCCTGAATGAGGCACAAAAGACACTGTCCTGGGTCAGCCCTCCCAGGAATCCCTGAGCCTGTGGCCACTCCCCAGGACCACCAGGAGGCGCAAACCACTTACTGGATCTCATAAAAAATGGTCATAGTAGGGATAGAAGTTGTGGGGGAAACATGAGGATCCATTAGAATGCGAAGAACTATTAGAACTTTGATTTAGATTTATTTTCTTATCATCTTTTTTAAATTTCTATTTTTGTGTATGTTTCATAATGTACATAATATTTTAGTACAGTAGTACATATATATAATTTACAAATAAATAATTATACAGTTAAGGAAGCAAACTAAAAATTTTCTTTTTTTACTGAGGGGAGGCACAACTAGTGCTTGGGGAAGCACATCTGTCTGCAGCTGCTGGAGCTTGCATCTCTGCTTTCCACACACCACCCTTGTGAAGTAGAGGTTGGGACACTGACCCCGAAAACCAAAGGACATTTGAGGCAGCATGGAGAAAGTACAGAGAGCTCTTTTATGTTGCCACACTGGGTTTTCAATTTCATTTAAATGAACATTTACTTGCTCTGAGCAAAATGAAGGGGCCAGATGGTTTGTAAAACACAATTCAACTGATCCAATTTAAATAATCTAGATTTAAATCACTACCTCTCTCTACAAACTCAACAGTCCTTTGCATTAAATGTGAGAGGGTTTGTAAATGTTAGATACTTAGTTGCGAGGCTAGCTTATTTTATTAACTAAATATTGTTGCCATGGAGTTCAGATTGCTGGCCAAACTACAGTGATCTATTTCAACAATAGAGAGTATTTGCTCATGACAGCCACAATGAGGGTTCCATCACGCCTACTCACTTGTCAATCTGAAGAATGCAGGGTCAAATGAAAGATGTCAATCTATGATCATCACATGGCAAATTTCTCTATTCTTCCCAGATATGTCCTTACCTAAGCCCTTCTGATTCACTAGAAAAATGAAACAAATAACAACTTAAAAACAATCACTTGATGGGAGGGCAAAGCAGGTGGATTGCTTGAGGTCAGGAGTTCAAGACCAGCCTGAGCAAGAGCAAGACCCTGTCTCTACTGAAAATAGAAAAACTAGCTGGGCATCATGGTGGGTGCCTATAGTCCCAGATATTTGGGAGGCTGAGGCAAGAGGAACTCTTGAGCCCAAGAGTTTGAGGTTCCTATGAGCTATGATGCCATACAACTACGATTCAACCTACGGCACAGAGTGAGACTCCGTCTCAAAAAAAAAAAAAAACCCCAATAACTTGTCATTCCATCTTTTCCCAAGATTAGAATTAATGGCTTCCATAACCTTCCCCATCTTTGGGCTTGGTGACAAGTGGCTATTTGCAAGGTTGAGTGTCTTTTATTCATGTAGCAGATGTGTCCAAGAAACCACCTCTGGAGCTCAGAGACCTGGCAGTACAAACATAAAAACTCAAATACAATACCAGGGCTATCATTCCATCCCATTCACACTCTAGGAGGTCCATAGTACAGATGGGGTGGTCCACACATGCTCTATTTTTTCAAAAAGCATTAACTGTAAGAGCAATGTAAGCACAGGTCAGCCACAAGAGGGAAGAAATGGGGTGAGGGGAGGTCAGCACTCTCCCTCTTCTCTATCAGAGCACCAGGACTGCCAGGCCAGAAGTAGCCCTTCTTGCTAACAGGTAGAGCTCCAAAATAGGTGTTTCCTTCATGTTACTTCATCCCCTGACTGATAATCAGTTCCCAAACCATCTTTAAAGGGGTTCCTTATATCTATCCTTCTTATATATGTACATTTATGTCTGTATAAAAAGGAGGCAATAGTGGCCTCAATAGGTGGAAGGAGAGGTGGACATATACATGAGTGGAGTCAACTTGGCATGGAGAGGGAGCAGGCCCAGGCCTGGAATATTGCAAGGTGAGGCAGGAGGCCTAGGGAGAGGGCGTGATGGTGCTGGTGGTCTGCAGACCTGCTGCTGCTCAACTCAGGGGAAAGAGGAGGAGAAGGGGTAGGGACCACATGGAGACCTGCCCTCACAAATGAGGAGATGGTGGGGAGGAGCTTGGTGAGAAGAGGAAGACCTAGGAAGACAATGGCCTTCCCAGCTTTTCCAGTAAGGTGGTGTCTAGAACATGCACACAACTGCCCTACAAAATCAGGCTCTGTGGTGGAAAGGGAATGAGGGCTGGGAAGAGCATCTGAGGCCCAGAGGTACCCCAGGATACAGGAAGATCAGTGCCATGAATGACATCTCCATTTCCATTTCCTTGGCCTACAGGCTCTCCACACACCCCTGACTGCCCATAAACTGCCTGGAGCTTGGTCCAAATGGCCCCTGGCTGGAATTGTGCTCACTGACCACTGTGGGGGCATTTGCCTGCCTCCAGGGCCTGTGCATCCATGCCAGCTAAGTATCATGCCCAGTGGCATCCACTGTGGCTTTGCTGCCAGTCACAGGCCCGTGGCCTTGGCTGAGGGCAGGGCTTGAGTGTGTCTTCCGGAGAGCAGGGTCATCCCCTTCCAGGGTGGCCAGGCGGGCCTCAATCCGCTCCAGGTCATCTGAACCCACTTTGATTTTCACAGCCAGGAGGTGGATATAGGTCTCATAACGGCTTTTCTGGGGAAAGGGCAAAGAAAGGCCAAAAACATGGTCAAGAGACAAAAATAACAAAATAGGAAAAGGTATTTGTACCTTAAATAACAAAAGACTAATTTCCTAAATATGCTGAAAGCTCTCACAAATCAATAAAAAGAAGAAAAGTCATCCAATAAATAAACAAGGGAAATGCATATAAATTTCACTCATAATTTTAAAAATCCAAATAATCGGCAATAATTTCTTGGATATGGCATCAAAAGCATAGGCAACAAAAGTAAAAATAGACAAATGGGACTATATCAAAATACAAAATTTCTGTAAATGAAAAGATATAATCAACAAAATGAAAAGGCAACAAACAGAATGGGGAAAAATATTTATAAGTCATATAGCTAATAAGGGTCTAGTATCCAGAAGATATAAAGAATTCTTAGAATGCAACAACTGAAAATAAACAAACAACCTAATTTAAAAATGGGCAAAGGACTCAAATAGACATTTTTCCAAAGAAGACCTATAAATGTCCAATAAGCACACAAAAAGATGTTCAACGTCACTAATCATCAGGGAAATGCAAGTTGAAACCACAATGAGATATCATCTCATACCTATTAGCATGGCTACTAGCAAAAAACGGAAAATAAATGTTGGGGAGGATATGAAGATTGTGCACTGCTGGTGGAAATATAAAGTGGTGCAACTGCTATGGAAAACAACGATGGCTTCTCAAAAAGTTAAAAGTAAAATTTATCACACGACCCAACAATACCACTTCTGGATATATGAGAGCTGTCTGGAAAGTATCCAGCCACGTAATATGAAAAATAATATTAACAATGGCTGGATCCTTTCCAGATAGCCCCATATATCCAAATGAATTAAAAACAAAGTCTTGCCGGGCACAGTGGCTCACGCCTATAATCCCAGCACTTGGGAGGCCGAGGCGGGTGGACTGCCTGAGCTCACAGGATGAGACCAGCCTGAGCCAGAGCAAGAACTTGTCTCTAAAAATGGCCAGACAATGTGGTTGGTGCCTGTTGTCCCAGCTACTCAGGAGGCTGAGGCAAGAGGATCGCTTTAACCCAGGAGTTTGAATTTGTTGTTAGCTATGATGCCATAGCACTATACCAAGGGCGACAAAGTGAGACTCTGTCTCAAAAAAAAAAAAAAAAACAACAAGGTTTGGGTGGCGCCTGCAGCTCAAAGGAGTAGGGCGCCAGCCCCATATGCTGGAGGTAGTGGGTTCAAACCCAGCTTCAGCCAAAAACTGCAAAAAAAAGAACAAAGTTTTAACATATCTATATACCCATGTGCTTAGCAGCATTAGTCACAGTAGCCAAAGATAGAAATGACCAAGTGTCCATTGATGGATAAATTGATAAACAAAATGTAATATATACATATAATAGAATATTAGTCACTCTTTAAAAAGAAAGAGATTCTGACACATGCTACAACATGGATGAACCTTGAGGACATTATGCTAAATGAAATAATCTAGTCCCCAAAAGACAAATTCTGTGTGATGTCACTTATATGAAATATGTAGAGGAATCCCAAAGACAGACGGTAGAAGGGTAGCTGCCAGGGCAGGAGGCAGGGAGATGGGGAGTCATTGTTGAATGTGTACAGAGTTTCAGCTTGGGAAGATGAAAAATTCCTGGAAATTAGTTGCACAACAATGTGAACAGACTTGGTACTACTGGACTATACATTTAAAAATAGTTAAAATGGTGAATTTTATGTTATGTGTTTTACCAGAAATTAAAAATTTTAAAAATCAAAATCATAGTAATGAGACACTGATTGTTAAACCTGTCAGATTAGCAAAGATTAAAACATTTAATAATGGATAATGTTAGTCAGTCATGGAGAATGGGTACATTCATAGACTATAAAAGGGCCTACAAATTGGTACTTTTAGGAGGAAAGTTTGACAGTGCCTGAGGGCTTTGACTCTAAGCTTCCGGCCCTTACCATGGTTGGGGGAGGTTTTGCATCCTAGAATATCAGAGGCTGAGGGCTATGGAACCCTGTTCTCTACCATCTCTGCCATGTAAACAAGATCCTTCTCCAGTGGGCTTCACTTTCCCACCCCACATAGAGCCAGGTAGGAATGAAAAAGGCCAGGGCACTGGAGCTGCAAGCAGTCTCCTAGGTTATGATCCTGCCTCCTGCACTTCTCAACTGTGTCACATCAGACAAGGGCACTGACCTCTCTGAGCCTCAATTTCCCCATCTCTGAGACACACAGGAGCACTATCTCATGTTTATCTAAATCTTATAAAATGGGGATAATAACAGAATCCATTTCACAGAGTTAATATGAAAATCAGAGCTGGGTGAGATGGCTCCTGCCTGTAACTGTAGCACTCTGGGAGGCTGAAGTGGGTGTCTTGCTTAAGTTCAGGAGTTTGAGCCCAGCCTGAACAAGAGTGAGACCTTGTCTCTGCAAAAAAATAGAAAAATTAGCCAGATATAGTAGGGCACATCTATAGTCCCAGCTACTTGGGAGGCTAAGGCAGGAGGAGCACTTCAGCTCAGGAGCTAGAGGTTGCTGTGAGCTAGGCTGATGCTATGGCACTCTAACCTAGGCAACAGAGTAAGTTACTGTCTAATAATAATAAAAGAATCAAATTGATCAATACAAGAGAAGTTGCCGAGCACAGTGGCATGGATATAGTCCCAGCTATCTAGGAAGCTGAGATGGGAGGATTACTTGGGCCCGGGAGTTCAAAATCCAGCCTGAGTAACTTAATAAAACCCTTTCTTAAACAACAACCACCAAAAAACAATGCAAGGGAAGCGAAGAGAACCACACCTAGCACACAGCAAGAGATCAGTCCACTGTAGCTTCTGCTACTACAATCTTCACATTGTAGAGAGTGGATCTGAGATTTTCCCCAAACTATAAAGCTTTCTGTTTCATAAAAGGTCAGGATCTATCCTGGGAACTCTCCTCTCTCCTCACACCTTAGTGAGACATCAATGTGTAAATCTGGAGGTTGGGACTGATGATGTCCTGCCCTTCATGCTCTGGCGGCCTTCCTGGCTCAGTCTCAGCCTTACTGTCTCGCCACCCCATCTGTAGCGCAGTCCAAAATGGACAAGTGATTCCTGCCTCTCTCTCCCATTCCTCACACAACAAAGGTTTTTCAACCCCACCTGCTTAGTATTGTGAGGCAGACTCCTGGGCAAAAAGAGACAAGATAGGCTCGGTGCCTATAGCTCAACCGGCTAAGGCGCCAGCCATGTACACCTAAGGTGGCGGGTTCGAATCCCCAGCTCGGACCCGCCAAACAACAATGACGGCTGCAACCAAAAAATAGCCGGGCGTTGTGGCGGGCGCCTGTGGTCCCAGCTACTTGGGAGGCGGAGGCAGGAGACTCGCTTGAGCCCAGGAGTTGGAGGTTGCTGTGAGCTGTAATGCCACAGCACTCTACCCAGGGGGACAGCTTGAGGCTCTGTCTCAAAAAAAAGAGAGACAAGATAAAGAAAGGGAGTGCTCAGAGATGGAGCTGCTCTGCTCAGTAAGCATATGTGAGAGGGAACATGAGACAAAACAGGAAAAGTCACATGGACAGGGTCTGGGAGTCTGATGAGTTGGTGTGGAAGCTCCTAGAAAAGCTGACCCTGTGGGGGAAGTGGAAGTAAGGAAGGTGCCTGGAAAGGTGGTAGTGTTCCTACTGGAAGTGTTCCCACTAGAGTTCCCACCGTGGTGCTCCTTGGGAGACCCAAATGAGGGTGCAGCTAGAATGTACCATGTGGCAGCTGGAATGTGCAAGACTGGCCCACAGGAGGCCATGGTTCATAACAGGGGTCCCAGTGCTCTGGACTGATGTTAAGGGCAGAAGCAGGGTGGGGTTGGGAACTGGCCTCTTTCCCTGGCTCCTGCACATCCTTCACAACCCAACCCCCTAGGGCCCACCTCAAACGTGAGATAGTGCTCCTTCAGCCGGGACTCCTCAGCCTCCTTGGACTTGATGCCCCTCTCAACTGGGTGACACCTGTGCTCAGCCAGCTCTGCAGTCACCTGTCTCAGCTTATTCTCATGAGACCGCAGCTGCTCCTCCTGCAAAGACAAGTCGGGTATCATGAGACCCTGCTCTCAGGATGCTGTAGGCTGGGTCTGATCCTGTCCCACCAGGAGCTTCTCCACCAAAGAGAAATTAAGGCCTGGCCAGGGTCACGAAAAATGACAGGGTAGAGCAAGGCTTGGAAGCTAGGGGGTGCGCCTTCCTTGCTCGCTCAGTGGGATTAGCAATCCTCTATGCCCCCCAGCAGGCTCAAGAGATGTGAGACCGTCACACTTCTATGTGCACATACACACTTACTGACACAGACACACAATGACCTCCTCTTATGAACCCCCACAGGCACACGTAAACATGCTGGACTAAGGGCCAGCCATTTATTCCCAACTCCACATGATACACACATTCTCTCACATTCATACACAGAGCCAAGACCACACCCAAAAATGCGCCGAGACACTGTCACTGATGGACAAGTGCACACACATCCCACCCACCAGAGCACAGCCAGGGCCCTTTGTGCTGCATGCACATCTGTGTGGAAACGTGTGGGGCACATGTACGTGTGAATGTACCATGTATGTATTTGCACACATCCATGTGCGTGCCTGTGTGGTATATGTGTGTGTGTATGAAGTGTGTGTGTGTGTGTGTGCATATACAGTGCACACACAGGAGCTCTGGGCAGAAGTAGAAGCCAGGAAGGCCCAGTGGAAAAGGGCCAGCAGCTGACAAAGACAGGAAGTTTAGAGTGTCCCTTGCCCTCAACCTCTCAAGTTCAGGCCCACCATATATCCTTTCCTCTCCAAAAACCCCTCAAGACCTGTAATATTGATGAGTCGAAGTTTTTTAGGATTACAAATAAAACATTTAAACACTAGAGAAAGGGTCCGTTATGTGTCACCTATCCCCAGCTCCCTGTGACACACATTCTTTGCTCTGGCATCTGTGCCCAGATGCACATAACACCACAGATCCATGATCACATCCATGGGGATGAACTTCCTTGGCAGAGAAGCACACCCATGCCACCTGCCAGAGCCTGCCAGGCCTCTATGTGGTGTGTGGTGTGCAGCCTCAGTCTTCCACTGTACGTCGGGGTAGAGGGAATGCCTGGTGTCTCTCAGCCCAGGATCAGGTGTCCTAGAGATTGAGCTGGTCTGGGGGCAATAGCCTGGGGAGGTGGTAACATAATCCCTGGAGCTTGTACCTGGCAGAGGCGAGTGGTACAGGAAGGCAACAAGGGCCGACAGAACTTCTTCATGGAGCTGACAGCAGCTGGGAAGGCTGGGGCTGAGAAGATGGCTGCCACTAGATTGATCCTAAGGATCCAGGACAGCATTTCTTCCTTGCTTCTGGGGACAAGAGGAAAAAGAAAAGAGTCCCGGCTTCTACAGGAGGACTCCCTGTGGTATTCCCAGCTGAATACCCAGCATTAGGCGTGGCACAGAGAATGTACTAAGGCCCTTCAGACAGATGTGTGAAAGAGGGAGGGAGGTAAGGAGGGAAAGAGGGAAAAAGAGAGAGAGAGAGGGAGGGAGGGAGAGTGGTTGGGTAGGCCTGGTCAAAGCTCTGTCAGGAGTTTCCCTTCTTTCCCAGTTCCTAGGCAACCTGGATTTTCATGTGAAGATAAAACTGCCCAGGTCAAGGTCTAGTGGCCTTAGCAACCATGGGCCAGGGATCATCAGAGGCAGTGGCAGATGGAAAGGCTGGTACAGCCCTCCTGCTCTGCCCACTGCCTCTACCACAGATACTCTGACTCTGGGGTTCATCTATGGCCTCCCTCCCTCCTTTCAAGCTCATGTGACACAGGAAACCTCTATCTCAAGTCACAGAACGACAGGGCAGTGGAAGGAAGGCCTGCAGGGTACATTTTTCCCACACATTTCCCACACTTAAAATGAATGATTATTCCTGAAGATGCCACCACCCCTTCCCTCAGGGACTCCAACATGCCTCAGCATCACCTAAGGTGAATTCAGTATGTCTAAGGTGGGGCCAGAAAGACTACACTTCTACCCAGTTTCCAGGTGATGCTCAAGAGATCACACTTTGAGAGCCACTGCTCTGGGGCCCCAGCTGTTGGTCTGTGTCAAGTGCACATGCTCTCTCTGAGCGCTGGTGCACAGGGGAAGCCAAGGAGTGGGCACTGCAGAGTGGATGCTGGGCCCACTCACGGTGCCTGGAAGAGGAAGACCCTCCAGTCGGCCGTCTTCAGCTTGAGCACATTGGACTTCTTGCTGTAGTCAGAGGCCCTGGTGGCCAGAGCATGATGCACGCGAATGGCATTCTTCAAGTCACCCTCTGACAGAGCTTTATCAGGTCTGTACTCATCCTGCATAGGGGTGGCTGGGTGAGCCTCTGAGGCAGTTCCAGTGTGCTGAGCACACCCTCACTTCCTCTCTCTATCCATCCCTCCATATCAGTTCCTGGTGCTAGGATGCTTCACCTACCCAAATCAGATCACTCAGGGCAACCCTCCCCTGTACCCTGCTTTGTCCCAGAGGCCTATTCAGGCCTTACACTAGGTATCACTGAACCACTGGGTATTTCACAGACTCCTCCATAAACCTCCAAAGCCCTGAGTTAAGTCCAAGTCAGGAAGGACTCTGCATCTTCCTAAGCCCCAGGTTCTACCCAAAACCCTCTGGGCAGCACAGGGCAGGGACTGGATGGGACTAGCGGGCCCTTCCTGCATAGGGCCTCTGTCTCTCACCTTCTGCAAGTAAAGGATGGTCCCTTTGAGCACCGCGTAGAATTTCTTCCAGCCACGCCTCCCACGGGGCGCTAGGAAGGGCGGCACAGGTAGTATGGCCACAACCACACCCCTAATGTCTCCTACCCTGCCTCCCCTCTGCAAGTGCATCCCCAAAGGAGTGGTGGGGGGTGGGTAGGACCCTCTATGCCAGCATCCCTCCCCATACCCCTCCCTTGGCCTGACACCCACTCCTCTTGCCATCCATGTCAGCGTGAGTCTTCCGGGTCAGCACGCCATGCTTGTAAGTTGTGGCACTGAGAGCCTGCGGAACATCCAGGAAGGGGTTGCCTCCATCCAGGATGCGTGTCACCTTCTTTATGCCCGTCCCAAACTTGTCATCCACCAACTCAGACAGAGATTTCCTCAGCTCTTCCTCATCACTAGGAAATTATTGGGCCTGAGCACCACCTCCAGAGAGGCCTCAAACCCCCATCATCATGACTTTTCCCCACCAACCACTCCACTGGGGGCCAGGACCAGAGGGAAAGTGCAGCCACAGGAGGCAGAGATGAAGACACTCCAATCTCAAATCACAGACCCAGATCTCTGGCCCCTCCCCTCAGTTCAGTTCTGACCCTGACTTCTGATCTTTGATTTTTGGCCTCCACACCCCAGTGGAGACTTTACTACCTCCAGGTCTCCTCCCCAGTGTTCCTTCTCCTCTCTCCAACTCTGACAACTCAGCCCAGGTTGCTGGGCCCATGGTTAAACAAAAGTTGCTGCACAAACCCCTCAAACCCTCAGAGCAGGCTAGCAGGTAAGGTCTCTAAAGACCAGCCCCTTGGCAAAAGACAGCCAGCCATGGGGTTGAGTTCCTGCCAATGCCTGCCTAGGACTTCTGCATGGACCTGAAGGTACAGGCTGCCTTGGGAGCACAATAGGAAGGGGCTCCCCCACAGCCTTTCAGCTTCCCTAACTAGCAAGGTCACCAACCCTATCTCCAGATATCTGTGCACCTCCAGATCTCACTGCCTCTGCAGGGGAAGAAGTTAGGGGGCAGGACCATCCCCACTGCTGAAAATAGTCACCGCCTAAAGACCGTCATATTCTCAAGGTTATTGGGGACTTGTGCCTCTTCCTGCCTACCTCCTAAAGGGGAAAGAGCTGTCATCGTTGAGAATTGTGGCAATACATAAAACAGGTTGTTAAATCATGAAACTAACATTATAGTTCAATCTATTTCATAGCATTGAAACACTGTACACATTCTATACGAAATCAGCACATTGTACCCCATAAATGCATTAATGTATACATGATCTATGTGTTCATGATTTAATAAATTAAAAAAAGAAACACTATACACTTTTTATTCAACAAAAAGGGAACTCAATGTTGGGTGCTGGTCCACCAGACAAAGGCCAGGGCACTGGGTTGGGAGAGATCAGCACCATGGAGAAGTACAACCTGTGTTCCCCACCCACCCCCTGTCCTGCCCAGTGATGTAGGCTCCCCATACCCATGCCTATGGGTACTACTCACATGGCCCATTCCAGCTTTTCATTCTTGATGGAGTTGTAAAGGGTCTGCAAGAGGGGAAAAGAGGAAAGAGATAGAGGGGAGTTCAGGTGAAGAGTCAAAAAAACCCATCTACCTCCAGCAATGTGGGTACAGTAAGGGAAACCTATTCAGCCAATGGGGCAAAGTGGGTGTTTGATTCATACCTGTTTGTTGGATGGATAAATGAGTGGGTGGGTAGATGTATAGATGGGTGGTACTTAATGTGATCGTTTAATGTCAGTCTCCCCTAGAAGACTCTAGCTTTAGAAGGTTGGGAGTTATTTGTTCATCACCAACTGACTCTTCAGTGCATAATCCAGAACTCAGCATACAGTAAGTGCTCAACAGGGTGGTTGGATGGATAAATGGGGTAGTGCAGGAATATGTAGATGAGTGGGAAAATAGATAGGTGAATAGGTGAATGAATAGGGGGTGGGTGGGTAGATAGCAGGTGGATGAGAAGGATTTGGGGGGGTATGGGGTGAGGGTATGGATGGGTGGATAAATGGAAAGATGATTGAGTAGATGATTGGGTAAATGATTAGGTGGATAGATGTGAGGATGAGTGGGTGGAGGGTTGGTGGACAGGTGGGTGGATGTGTGGGGAAATGGGCAGGGGAATAGGTAAATAAATATTGAATGCACATGGGGAGTATTTGGGGTGAATGGAGGTATATGTATGGGTGATGGAAAATTTGCTGAGTGGTTGGTGTGGTATGGGGAAAGTGTTAGGGGTTGCATGTCTAGGTGATAGGTGAATGTATGGGCATATGAGTAGGTGAGTGATTGACTGGCTGGGTGGATAAGTGGATGCATGGGAGGATATATGGATGGATAGAGAAGCTGGTAGATGTGTGGATGGTAGATAAGGAGAAGTGGAGAGGGGAGTGGTGGGACTAGGATTGTTTAATCTCACATAATGATATATTCTTATTATAGCAAGTGCTCCTAAAGGCAAAGAAGAAGATAATTATGGCAAGAAGAAGAAGACAACATTCTATTTTTTTACCTCCAAACTCACTACTCAATTACCCCTGTGGTATCACTAGGCCCTTCAAATCTACTATTTGAAAATGAATTCATCATCCACTTCCCCTAAAAACCTGATCTTCTGGCTCGGCGCCTGTGGCTCAAG